ATTTTTTAATGGGCAAAGGATTATTTTGTTTTGTTTTTTTAATCTATTTTTATATATAGTGGTTAACATTTGTGAATCTCATACTCCCAAATTTATCCCTTCTCACCCCCTTTCTGTTTTGTAAATAAATTTGCATTCCTGCCAACAGTGTAGGAAGTTTCCATTTTCTCCACACCAACTTCTGCATTTATTATTTGTAGGCTTTTTGATAATGGCCATTCTGACTGGTGTGAGGTGATACGTCACTGTGTTTTTGATTTGCATTTCTCTAATAATTAGCAATGTTGAGCATCTTTTCATGTGCCTATTGGCCATCTGTATGTCTTCTTTGGAGAAATGTCTATTTAGGTCTTCTGCCCATTTGATTGGGTTGTTTGTTTGATATTAAGTTGTATGAGCTGTTTATATATTTTGGATATTAACCCTGATAATTTTAATTTGAATTTTTTAAAATTATGAATTAGGCTAAACATCTTTTTATATATCTCAGTGCCATTTTTTAATAAACTGATCACATCTTTTGCTATTTAAAGAATAGGTTTTGGTATTGAATTAAAGAGACTTGTATAAGTAAAGAAAATTAGTTCTATATAAGTTGTGACATTTTCCATTTTGCATTTAGCTCAGTTATTTTATGCAGTTCCTAATGAAGTTAGAATTTTCAGTCTTTTATGATTTCTTAAAAAGACTCCATGCTGTGAAATTATTAAAAATACAACTCTTCCATGTTTTCATGTAGTATTAATTTTAAAAAAATTAATAGACTTTATTTTTTATTTTGCTCTGCATTTTGCCAACACTTGGTAATTGTCAGTTTTCTTGATTTTAGCCATTTGGAAGTTGTTGGTATCTTGTTATTTTAATTTGCAGTTCCCTAATGATATATGATGTCGAGCGTCTTTTCAAATGCTTTTTTTTTTTTTGGCCATCTATACATCTCTGTTGATGAGGTCTATTTTTATGTTCAAATCTTTACCTTTTTTCTTATTGAGTATTAAGAGTTCTTTGTGTATTTTGGATATAAGTCTTGTCAGATATGTACCTTGAAAATATCTTCTCTCTTTTGTAGTGTTTTAATGCTTAAATTTTTCATGTTAAATCTTTTGTTCCAACTGGACTTTATTTTGGTAAAGGGAATTTCCAGATGGCTACATTACTCCAACACCACATACTGATTAATCCATCTTTGTTTTCACTGATATAAATGCTACCTTTTCCATACACAAAATCCCCCGTTGTATTTGGGTCTCTCTTTGGACTTGTAGTCTTTCCAATGTTTGTCCATTTATTACAGTTCTGCAGTTTTAAATGTCTCCCCTTTTCAATATGAGTATACGAGGCTAGTATCACTATCACTTTTCTGTTTCAGAATTTTCCTTAAGACACTGTGCCTTTCCACGTCCCTTTCTTCCTGTCAAATTCATATTCATCTCCTAGGATCTGCCTCTAGGAAGCTCCACTCCCTGCTACCTCTGTACCTCTTCTGCCAGTGCACTTTCCACTTTGCAGTGGGATTTATGTTTTTCTTTCTGTCTCTTCTACTAGGCTGTGAGCTCAGAGAGCAGAGGAATGTAATCCTGGGGAACTTCCTTAAAAAACGAAATCGGGAACAGAGTGCCTCAGTTGCCTTATTTGGGACATATTATACTTTGTGTGTGGTATAAAAAGAGTACATTTGGGTCCTTGTGAAGATTAAATGAGTTAATATTCCTTCCTAGAGTAGTGCCTGGCACATACTTAGCCTGCAATAAATGCTGGCTATTACAATAGTCATTATTATTAATTCTGAATTTCCTGTGCCTAGCATAGTATCAGATAGATACTAAGTTCTCAAGTAACGTCTATTCAACAAATGAATGATGAATGAGTAATAAATGTGCAGGATACGTTAATTTTCTGCTTTAATAAGTTCTAATATCCATTTTTATGGGCTGGGTAGCTTTGTCTCAAAATTCACTCACCTGTGTAAACTCATGGACAAAACTAGTTGTAAAATGTTCTATCAAAAATGAATTTTATGGGCAGCAAATTCAGTTCAATAAGCATTTACTGACTATCTACTTGAAGGAGATGTAAAATTACTTCTCAAAAAAAATCACATCAGTCTTTAGGAAGAAGAAACTATTGTCATATAGTTCAAATGTTATCATCTCCAAAAGAAACAAAAATTTCTATTTGATTTTCAGTACTGTATCCTCAGTGGGAAAATTTTAATTCTTAGTTATTTTAAAAATAATATTATCAACGTAGTTAGAAAAATGTATAAAAGGTAACAGTAAAGAATCTCCCTTGTACTCTCAACCTCTAACCCCTCAATTCCCCAAATCCTGTAGATAACTAGTTTTCTTAGGTATCTTTTCAGGGATTTTTAAAAGGCACAAAGAAACGTTTGTGATTCCCCCATCACCCATTTTCCACTAGTAGTAACGTAGTCACTGTTCTACATCTTGATTTTTTTACCTTTTAACAATATTCATTAAAAATATTTTCATATCAGTATGCATGCAAACAGCTTTCATTCTTTTTTATAGCTGTATAGTATTCCATATACCATAATTTATTTAACCAATTCCCTACTGACAGACATTTAGGTTGATTTCAATTTACGTTGATTTCTTATTACATATCTGCTGTAAGGAATAACTTCATAGATTTGTTGCTGTATTGAAGTGCAAATATATTTTAAGATAAATTTCTAGAATTAGAACTGCTAAGCCAAAGGGCACATGCATCTGTAATTTTGAAAGATACTAATTGTCCTCCATACTGATTTGTGTCACAACCATAGTATATAAAAATGGCCCATTTAGCATCCTGGATGATATAGTATTAAATCACTTATTGTCCTTTCTGTGAATTAAGTGCCAAGTACTATCAGTTATTAACTGAAAAGAGGTCAAGCTTATGTTTCTTTGTGGTGGCGGTGGGGTGGGGTAAGGTAGAGTCAGAGATCGACTAGGAAGAGCCACCAAGAAGGAAACTAGTTACATGCACCAACTTTGTTTCTTGGTTCCAGATTCACTCTTCTTTGCCCAATTCTGTGACATGGAATTGGACCCTGTAAACATTTTTCCTTTGGAACATTAGGCTTTTCCAACAGAGCATGGGAATGACACTACAAGGCTACTGTCAGGGAGACACTTTCCTCCCAGGTTCCAGCCTCTACTATAACCTTTCAGCAGGAGCCCAGGACCCTGTGCACAAGTCAGGTTGCCCCCTCCTCACAGTGCAGCTTCTACAGACCAGCTCCAGCCAGCTCTCTGGCAAGTTCCCACCCCTGCCGCTCAATCACACCCTCTTCAAAGAGGTCTGAACCTCAGCCTTGAGGCAGGGAAGAGGCCTTCCCTTAGTCCTCACCTGTCGTCTACCCTCCTCCAGCCTAGAGGTAGTGTCTGGTTTTCATTTTGTTTTTTTGCCCATGCTACTTTCCTTTAGTCCTCTTTTACTCCTTTGAGTACTTACTTCCTATCAGCTAACAATTCCGTATATTACATTTTCCCTGTTCAAATAACTGGTGTGATTTCTATTTCCAGACGACCCTGATACATTACATGTGATCATTTTGTAAAAATTTATCAAGATTTATAAAGATTGTTGCACTCAACATGTCTTATTTTTGGTGTACAATTATCTGAATTGATAAATACACTAATATGTAAGAGCACACTAAATGTGTATTATTAAAAGATCATGAATATATTACTTCAGTCCCTGTTATGGATTGTTTCTTGCTAATTTTAAACTAGAGACAGCCCATATTTAAGTAGGGCACATCTAGTATTCCAGGTTCGAAGTATTCTACAGTGGCCCATGAATACTGTTAATTTACGGAGTATAGCAGTAAACAAAAGTGGGAAAAAAACCCCACATCCTTCTATCTTCCATTCTTATGTTGGTAATATCATAATAAGTTTAAGTAAGATCTGTTGTGTACTTTTAAGATTCTAAACATCTCAAAGCAGGCTTATTTCCCATCTGCCCCAGGACTTAGCACAGTGCCTGGCTCATACAGGTGCTCAGCAAATATCTGATAAAATAGGATACCCAGTTGACATACAGTAAGCTTGGCAAGCTGCTGTTATCAGTAAGATAAGTCCACGGTGGGGGGTGTGTGTGTGTCAATCAGAACAGCCTATCCTGTTTCTGGCACAAGCCTTCTACAGTCATTCAGCTGCAAACCTTTCTTTTCCTTTTGCTCAGGATCTTTGTTCCAGGAAGGCAATTAAGCAAGACGTTTCAACACTCTCCTACTTCTAATGAGTGTACAGGGGGCAGGTAGCAGAGAAGAGGCAACCTTGAGGTCCCAGGGGACCAAAGAAAGAGTATGGTCAAATGAACCTCTACATTGGCACAGATTTATGTAAGTGTCCCAGAATGCTCCCTCACTTAATCCTCACAGTAATCCAAGAGGTAGGTTTTATAATCTTCATCTTGAAGAGGAAGCTGAGAGTCTATCTGAAAGATGAAGTAACTTGCCCTACAACTAATTAAACATCTGCTAGCTTATGCATCCAGGGCTGTCTGACTCTGCTGTTTCTTCTCTGCTGGTCTGTATCTCAGATGACCCAGATACAATACAATCCCCATGGATGGAAGGGCCTTTAATTGATGTACTAATGTAGAAGATTATAATCTTCTTCAGAAATTTAAGTTCTTAGTATTTCAGAGGAAGCAACTTACTTTGTGTGCTCCCAATCCACTTGAACGTACTTTAAGATACCCCATGACATGAGACCACCCAAAAGTTTTGTCTAATAATAGTCCAAGTGGCCCTGAGGGTAGATGAAAAGAGATTGATTTTAAAAATTAAAACATACTTGGAATTTAGTCTAGCCTGCTTACAGAATAAAGACAAATTCTTCAGTAGTTTAAAAAAGAATTCGTATTTTTACTAAGACAAAATCTCACTAATATCTCAGTTACTATGATTTGAAAAAGAATTATGTAGATATAAACAAATTATGTTTTGGAAGTTGTTCAACAGACAAAGTACACCTAGAGAACATAAAAATTCTTTATTTAACCTAAACCAGCCAGTGTCGAGATAGTCTGCTATATTAAAAACAAGACGTTTAAAAAAATTACAGCACAGTTAGCAAGGCAGTGACCAATTAAGTCACTTAGTTTAATTTATATTCTTCACAGTCATTTGATAATCATGTAATGATGAACAATAGTTTCAGCCACTTTGGAGATAAGTTAAATTCTGCAAAGAAGAGAATTCTACTAGTTGTCATTGAATTTTATAAAAGAGGTTTAAAACATTAATAAAGTTCATAGAAATAACACAGGAAAGCAACATGAAAATAAACTAGAAAACACAAAATATACTCACCCATCCCAAAAGTCTACAGCATCCCTTTGATCTGTCTCCTAATGACTCTTTTACCTCCTCATTCCCTTTTCCTAGTGTCTGAAGAGACTTTAACAATTAAGAAACTACTGCTCTGTAGGGCTATTTTGAGCTTAAAGTGCCTCTGTTCCTTTAATTTCTCAGTTAATCCTAGAAATAGCCTTCTGAGATAAGGACTACTTGTATTTCAGAGGTGAAGAGAACTGTAGCTGAGTCACTTGGCCGAAGTCCTAAGTACAGTTAAAGCAGAATTAGCATTCGAACCCAGGTCCAGCAACTTCAGTCAGCCCGTGCTTTTGTTGCTTCAAGGTGGTGCGGGCCACTTTCTGAAGAGACTGGTGCATGGTGCTTCTTGAGCTAAGGATCTTAAGATTCAAGTGTTCAGTTCCAGGGCTGAGGCCACTCTGGTCCCCAGGCACGCACATTCCCTCCCCACAGCCCTAGACACTCCCCCTCCTTGCCCCTTCAGGATTTGAGTTGTTTCTCTGGCCCTCACAAGCCCTGATGCAAATCAGCCCAAGCAGCTACCTCCCTATTTGGGGCAAAAAGTAGTAAACGGGGAACTGTGTGCTTGTGTAACTTCAGTAAAGGCTGCCAGAAGCTGTTCTATATAACAAAGTTATTCAGGAAATATCTAACATGTTTTTTCACATTGACAATTAAAGAAAAGCCAACTTATCTTATAATTACAGCTATCTAATCTAAGTTATTTTTATATACAATCATAGATTTTATATTTCCCCTTCAGAACCGTAGCAGTGTTGTCAATAAGGCTCACTGTCCATCACACATGCCCTTCCTCCCCAAAGAATTACAACTTTGAATGTTCACTAGCCATTCATAGAAACTTCATGTTAAAACTCAGTTAAGACATTCATACTACAGAAAGGTACCAGTCTTAAATTACTAAAGTTAACATACATTATTGCAATCTAACATAGCTTGATACTCCTAAAGAGAAGTGGCCATTTATCAGTAAGGGAAAAATGTTTATATTGTCATGCATTAGATACTGTGAACAAGAAAATAAATAGGATTTTTGGAGCTATCTTTAAAAAATTTAATATTAATTCATGAAAAGAACTGCAAGATCATTCAGATTGCTGAACGTTAAAAGGGCCACTACTGAAAACATCTTCAGATAACTGCTTTTGAAAAATGAATGTAAGACTAGTTTAACAGTGATTATTAAGGTGCTAGCCTCAATATGACAAGCAATTAAAATTTTAAGCATTAGTATTATTTTTTTCTTAAACTGACAAGCCCCAAACAATGACCTTAATATTTACTCAAGACTTCTTCGTTTTCATAATTATCTCTTCACTGACTAATATAAAAACAAAAGAGCTCAAGGCCTCACCTTGGTTTACTCACTGCTGGTTTTCTTTTTGTTGAAACCTAGACTGTAAACTACATAAAAGCAGGAACCAAGTCTGTCTTGTTCGCCACTGTATCCCACAGCACCACACAGTGCCTGGGCAAGTAGGAGAGTAACACCTGAATAACTGAATCAATGAGAGAGGAGAGGAAAATAACTTTATTGATTTTTTGCAAATCATTCTCTGTGCTCAAACTACTATAAACTGGCAGCTCTAATTTCTAGAAACATGAATTTAAAAACCTTACTCCAGTAATGGAAGGACCTGATGACTGACTCTCTCTCTCTCTCACACACACATATACCCCACACACAGACAGTAATTAAGACTGCATGAGTCAAAATCACATTATGAATTATGAGATGTCAACATTATATAAATAAAATTTAATAGTGAAAAAGTGATCTGGAAGCCCTGTGAATTTTTACCCTACACATTTTGGAGGACATCACATGGGTTAAGAAAAACACAACAAAATTGCATTTGTTCAGATAATCATTTGAATGTTTACATATATTTTTGGTTTGTTATTTATTTATAACTAATTTAATTTACATTTCCTCATATTAACATAGATTTCTGTTTAGCTTGTAATCAAATTATGCCAGTGAGAAAAATCCTCATAGTACCTTCATTGAGTTGCTGATTCTAAGAAAACACTGAACATGAACATGTACAAAAGAGGCATTTGAATAAAACAACATGTGCATTTTTAAATATTTGCACGGTTTGATCTTTACATTTCTGTCTGGAGAAAATAAGAACAAAACTCAGGCTCACCACGCTAAGATAACGAACGGTTCAGATGACTGCCATAAAAGCAGCACGTACAGAACAAGGACAACCAATCACAGCCTTAGGCTCCGTGATTACTGAGAGGGTTTCCCCTGCCCTAAGTGCTTTATTATATTTCTTAAAAATACGAGAGCAGCAGCTTATCACAAGTCTCCACTACTGGGCATTAATGATGGAATCAAAACAACAGACTCATAAGGATGAGAGGACTGCAGAACAACGAGAAGTCAGTTTTATGCTTCTTCTTGCTCTGGATAATTTAGAATTTTGCGATGTGCCTGACGTAAATATTGCTGCTGTTTGAAATACACCTTGAATGCTCCTTTAATGGCAACAAAAGCAATTCCACCCTAAAATAAAAAGAAAAATTAGCTTTTTATAATGCAGATTTAGAAAAACATAACAAAAATCATTTTACTTAAATCACAAAAGACACAGGCATTGATACTAATTCTGCAAATGAAACAGTTCTCTTTTCTACTAGGGAGAAAGGGAGAGAACACACTACAGGTAACAGAGGTCAGAAATGCTTTTGAGTATCTCTGGGTAATCTTTCCACTTAGCTCTACATCCATTCTCATAGTAGAGAGAATGCCCAGGCACTATTTGCAGGCTGCCACCAGAGGGAAAAGTGGGAATAATAATGGCATCAAATAACAAGAGGGCTTACTATGTGCTAGTACTTCAAATGAATTATCTCATTTAATTCTCACAATAATCATGAGGTAGCTACCATGGAGTCATCTATCTCCACTCTACAGACATAAAGAAGTCAAGAAATTTTATTTAGGTTTCTCAGCAAGGCAATGTCTGTGACAGGATTTGAACTAAGCCATGTGGCTCCAGAGCAGAAGCTCTTCACCATAATCTTGTTGGCAAGAGGGGTGGGTGTGATGATTCATGCATATTCCAGGAGGGAAGTCACCCACGGCACAGTTCCCGCAGGCTGAACCACTGCAGTGGATCCTCTCCTGCTTAGCGCTACTGGATGACAGCGGGGATCAAACAGAGGCTTAAGGCACAGGAGCCACAGAATGAATATTTTATATAGTCCCATTGGGTTTTTCTTTAAACAAATAAACAGTTTGTTCTCTTTTGTATAGTCACTTGAAAAAAGTAATATTAAAGCCATCTTACCAAGATTGTCCTTTGTAAATTAGAGTTAACGCTACTGAACATTAGTTTACCAACTATTGTCGCAATAGTAGGAAAGACAAGGGCTCCACACAAAATTCGGGTGGCAGAGACATGATCTGCTAAAGGATTAGCCTCAGCTGGAATTCGAGGAACAGGACAGCCAATCCCTAGAGAAAAAAATGCAAGGCGATAGCGCTAATAAGTCATAAGTCAATAACTAAAATATCTTTGCATGCTAGGATTCACACACAATTATTAATTTGGTATGCTCATTACAACCACAATTCAGGGTATGCTCATTACAACCACAATTCAGGGTCTTACCTGGAAATATACTGTTCAAAATTTGTAGTTTATTTGAATATTTGCGCCATAGTCTAAGCACATAGTCTTCCCAGCGAATCATCTTGCCTAATATCAGCATGACAGGGATGGTAGGAAGTCCAATTAAAAGGAACAAAGGATCAGCTCTCTCCATAACATCCAGACCTTCTTTATGGCCTACAACCTGTGAAACAAATGGGATTTGCTAGAATCATTTCCTTATCTAATGAAGGGCTGCATGCTTGAGCACAATTCACTTTAGAGGAAATGCTAAATTTCAAAAGAACATTGAAATTAAAAGTTTTAAGAATAAGCTGGAAAGCTATCAGTCCTAATTTATTTATAAGAAATGTCTCTCATTCAAGGTGGAAAAAAGCTCCCAAGCTGTTTTATGTTACACTGGAATAAAAGCTTTAAAACTCACATTGGTTACATTTCAATAGAGGGGAGAGGACTTCAGGTTCTTGCTTCCATTCCTCTCGCTTAATTTGGTTAGACTGGGCTATAATTCTAGGTCCCAGGTGTCTTCCAGCAGAGCATGACTTCCTGCTTTTCCTACTAGGATGTAAGCATAGCCAGCCAAGGGGCAGGACTGGCCTTCATGAGATGGCCCGAAAGCTTACTTCTCTTTGGCTCTTTCTCCTTACTCAGTGGTGTCTGGGATAGAGTGTAATTTCTCTAGCTGATTAAATGCCTGATCTACAGACCTAACTCTCTTAAAATGCAGTTCCAAGGTCTAGATTTGAGGGACTGCAATAGGGGCCCAGTTTTGGCTACAGTAGGTTCCAGTCACTTTTTCTAATCCAGGAACCCTAGGGTGCCGTACCCGTGAAGTCATGAAACTAAACAACCTTTCCCCTCTCATCTGGATCTTGGGGTTATTTCTCAATTGGTTTCGATCCCAGAGGGCAAGAAGCAAACTCATGAAAAAGTAAGTGGGATTTTTTCAAAAATGAGATGCCCTTTATTAAAATGTAGATTTTTTTAGGTGGACTTGAAGGAGAAGTGAAATAAGGAAGCTGAGCATGGTCAGTGCAAAGTGAAATTCTAGACAACAGACTTATCCAGGTAAAAATATTTTATAAAAGTATGTGGGTGCTTAAAAAATTTCAGCTAGGGATACAGCCTGGAGTTTTGTACTAATTTATCATTACCAAGGGGACTAAGCCTCTTCCAAATGGTCAAAAACCATGATATTGGTATCTGATATTCTTCTGTGTCTTCAGGTAGAAACTTAGTAACTTCACCTCTTACATGTGAAGGGTGAACACTTTGAGCTGCCCTAAAGTAAAACAGTCTGGTTCACTATATTTCATAAACACATATCCCGCACTGGGGCCAAAAGTGGATTAGCCCAGAGACTGTCTTTACCGTTAATGCTTTCCCCATGACATTTTATTTTTTTTTAGGATCATTTTACTATTTACAACATGATCACTTTAAAGTTGTAAATGTGATTAAATGTGATTTGAATACTCTCGAAGTGTTAGCAAATAAATTCAGAAATCTGAAAAATTCCTTTATTGGGTTATGTTTTCTTTTTGGAACTTAGGGTTTTAAAGGCCCCTGTTGCAGCTAAAGTGGAGAGAAACGCTTTGTGCTCAAGCTGAGGATGACCATACACATGTACTTGCATGCATTCATTCAACTAAATACTGATTATGTGGCACATACAGGCCTAGGTGTTGGGAGTTAAATGGTGAGCTAATAAGATGTCTTTTGGAGGTGAGAGATAATAAATCAGCAAGTGTGTAAATATAAATATTAAGGAACTAGTGTAATGTAACATCTGTAATGTTACACCACCTGCTACTACAGTCAGACTGAAGGGTAATAAATGACATCTGAATTAAGCAACGGGGCTGATTTAACTTTGGTCAATAAAAAACCAGCAAATGTTGTGTACAATCATGTACATTCTGGTTTTCTGTCCCAAGACTTTAAAAATAGGTTATTTTTAAGACTTCAGTTTCGAGATGAGATTCAGGAACTACAGAATGTCTTGTTTAAGAATCTGTTATATATAAAATAAAGGCCTATGGAATTGTAGGTTTAGAGAAAGGTTTGTTTGTTTTTCTGCTTAAGAGCTAAAAGCTAGATCTCCTTAGCTAGGCCTGCAGTTCACTGATGCTGGAAGGCTAAGAGTTTTAATTAAGGCTTGATTTTTTTAAAGCACTGCCTATAGAACCCTACTTTTAAATGGGAGGCTGGAACAGTGACGAAATAATAGGTTTTCTTTGACAGAATGAAGGATAATTCAGTGTAATATAATTAAGAATGGACAATGCTTATGAGGGTTGTCTTTATACTACATGTGGAAGTGAAACTAGGCTGGATATTAAGGTTCCATTGTTCCAGGATAAAATGTTCCAGCTGTCTTTGGGACCAGGTTTTACTTAATAAGTCCTAGATTTAGGGACAAGAGTCCTAATGCTTCTTCCTTACTGTGTGGAACTAGACATGTAAGCTCTCTGAGTCTGTAAACTAGGAATAATTGACATTATCTATGTCATAAGATTGCTCCAAGAATTACACGCATCAGTGCTTGAAAAGCGTTCAGTCTGGTGCTGGAAAAAAAAAAAACTATCATGTTGTCTTTTCAACAGAAGTTTAAGTGGAAGGGTCCATTCAATTTCTTTACAACAAACAGGGATTGAACCTAAGACTGGTTCATGAAGAAATAAATGGGAGTAAATGGGAAAATAGTGATCTAATTCCTTAACCTGATTTACTTGAACAAAGTCATCAGAGAACAAAAAGGAAAACAAAATAGTCAGGTGTTAAAAAGAAAACCCTAAATACTGCTGATGGCATAGGGGGCACAATTGCTATAAAATATACTCAGAAAGGTAAAAAGTCTTCCTAACACTCTTAAATCATACAACAGTACCTACTTATTGTCACAACTAATCTCTCATTTCTGCGCTAAAAAAACCTTTTCAAGTGAGACAGTACATGTAAAGGTTATTTCTAAATGGTAACACATAATATATATATAATATATATTATATATACATATGTATATTATCATAATTTCAGGTCTTCCTTTCTGTCACCATTAACATGTTCATTTTTTTTTGTCTCTTTGCTCATATCATTTCTTCCTCTCTACCAATCCAAATTATTTCCTTCAAGGGGCAGTTCAATATTTACTGTTTTCATAACTTCAAATGATCTTTCACTTTTACTGAATTAAAGTACTGTTAATGTAGTCTTCTGCATTCTCTTTGTATTTTTTACATAACCTTGTAACTGTTCTCCAGCTGTTCACTTAGGTTAGACTAGATTCCTTAAGGCTGGGGATCAGGGCTTTAAATTTGTTTTGTATTTTACACAGACCTCAGTTCAGTGCTTTTTGAATGAATCATACCAACATGCTTCAAAATGCCAAAATACAACTGGT